TGTGTGTGTGTGTGTGTGTGTGTGTGGTACGGAGATGCTGAGTTATATAGACAGCAAGAGACGGGGTGGCATATGCTGGAAACCAATGCAAGTGGAGCTACTTTAGCACTAATCTGGCGGGCACCCTGCTGCGACAGATCAGAGGAGAGGGTTGCGATGCCCTACCTCAGGGGGCTGGGGGTTTGCTGAGGAGTAGAGATACCGAAAAACAGGAAGGAAGAGAAGGAAGGAAGGAGGGAGGGAGGGCAGCAGATATAACTGTGCAAGTATAGTGCGGAGTGGGAGAGCCTGGGAAAACAGAGGGCGGGCTTAGAGTAAGTAAACAAGTAGAGAAGGGATGGAGGTTAAAGAGCAGGCTTACTGCGACGAGAGAGTGGATGTAAAACAAGAGGAGAAGGTGGAAGACGTCCACTGGGAGAGATTTGCTGAAGCAGGTGGAAGGGCTGGTGCGTGTTGTGGACGTAAAAGTTTCTCTGACAGGATGTTGATCATCTCGGTAAATTATCCTTTTTTTAATTTGGAGAAAATAACTTTACTTAACTACTATCAACTACTAAAAAACTGCGTCCAGCTCTGTTCTGTATATACTCTGCTATTTTCTATTCTTTCAGTTCTCATATCCCCGAAGCAGTATTCCCTTTAGAGACACAAGTGTTATAAAGTTGCAAGTCAGTAAAATACCAACAATCTTTACATATTTTAAACGTTGTGGATGTATCACTCGTGACGAGTGAATCAAGCTGAAACACTGATGTGTTGTTGATACGCTGAACGTGTCCGTGACAGCAGACATGAAGCAACATCATCAGATTTATCTGGATCATGGATTGTGTTTTTGGCCAACTGATCAATTGTGGTCCAATATTCGCTCTCCCTTTTAGCGCTGTGTTTCTCCGCAGCAACTCCCAAGTGATATATCTGTCTCTTCAGCTGCCAGATGCTCCACCATGTTCACAACCCGGTTCGTCAGCTGTTTGGCGCCAGGCAAGTCTCGTACATTGTGTTAGAGCTTCATAAAAGAAAACAGCTGCCTGCTGCAGAAAATGCGGTTGATCAGAGTGATGAGATTGACACTTTTCACAGTATGTGTTATTATTTTGATTTATTTTGATAAAAAAGAATAGTGATAAATGCAGATAAGTAGACCTAGTGAATGCATTTGGAAATGTTACTCCTGCTGTGAATAGAGAGAACGACAGGTGTAGTGTTGAAAAATGAAATTGGAGCGTGGATAGAGGAGGAGAAACAAGCTGGCACAGTCAACAGTCTAACATTAAACACAATTTTGTATGGAACAGATGTGATATAATGTCTGAGTTTGTGAATTGAAGTGGTATTAGCAGGAAGATTTTTCTTTGAACTTTCTAATCTTTGAACAGACGATGGCTTCGCTAACTACCTGCAGGCTGAAGCTTCATATAAACAGATGTGAGAGTGACAGCCAATGTTTTATCTAACTTCCTCTGAAAGTGATAAACTTGCTTCAATAAATACTTTTCAGATCAGTTAAAGCCATAGTTCTAATGCATGACACAGGTAATAAAAGGAAAATGATTTTTTTTACGACTTCTTAACATTTACAACTGCAGTCTTGGTGGCTTATTGGACAGTGATAAACTGGTTTCAACATTTAACAGCATGGAGGACAGACCTACACCAGCTAAGGGATCTACTACTGCACAATGAACAGTAGAATGAAATATGAACTTGAAAGAAGGCACTTCAGGGGAGCTGCTCCAGAGACGATAATATATCCATACTGAACAAAATCTGAACTTTATGGACTGGAAAAACCAGCAGCACCTCCTGCTGCACCTCTCTCTAACAAGGAATAAAAAGAGGGGAAGGAGGTGTAAAGATGGATGGAAGTGTCTGACCACTGCCATGAGTGGGCATGCCACAACAAAGGGTCAGGAGGTGGCTTAACGGGTCAAGGGGTCACGATGTGCAAATAAATCTTTAAATCTCTGCATAGATATTAATGGCTGTTTGGTGTTTTGCTAAAAGAGTTGGAAATAAAAACAAAAATTAAAATCATTATTTATCCTCATAGACAGCAGCCATCATGCCTTTTTTTTTGTAACAGAACATGAGAAATGAGATAAAAAAATCTGCAGCCTCGTTTTTCATACCTCAGCTCAGGGTAAAAAAAAAACATTGTGTTAATACGGACAAAAAACAGCAATTTCTTTTCAAATCTGATTACACACAGACAGAGAGAGAGAGAGAGAACAAAAACACATTTTCAGATTCCTGTACACATTTGCAAATCTAAGCATGTATTTGCAGATTATTGGACACATTTACAACCTGATTACACACACGGATTGAGATACAGTCACACAGCTCTCCATAAACACACACACATAGATAATGTAGCTACAATACTGGTCCCATGTGGGATCCTCAGCTGTAATTGTTTACCCCTCAAATAAAGCTTCATGAATATGTGGCTGTTGTTTCAGGACCATGGACAGCTCTGTTTGTTGGCTGTGGGATGCACCGAACACAACGTGGAAAAACAAGAAAATGAAATATCCAAGATAGTTGGTTTGCTCATAGTTCAACCGATTGCAGATGTGCATTACCTTTTAGGTTGTTTACTTAGCTTTAAGTTCGCCATAAAACGCAATGGAATAAGAATGTGCCTGAAGGAGATGTGGGGTTCAAACAACAACATTCTGAGGTGGTGGGTGACCAACTCTACACCCTGAGCCACAGCTTGGATGTAGAGTAAGGTAGTGTGCACAGGAGCTGTTTATTATTTATACAGAGGGGTGTTTCAAACAGGAATTAGAGTGAAAATAGTAATAATGCAGCATGGAAACATGAGAAATGTTACAGATGAGAAAAGAGTAAACACAAGATAAAATAAAACCTTATTAAATGGTTAAATAAGATCAAATCTAGGTAAAAAAATAAACAAATAAAAAGGTGAATTCAGACTCCAAGTTCAGAGAGAACACACCTATAAACATGTGCATGTAAGTGGGATTTTAAAGAGGATAAGGAGTTTGACTTACAGAGAAGGCCCTGTCACCCTTGGTGCTCAGCTGCGACTCTTGAATGGAAAGAACGGCCGTCACCGAGGACTTTAGGTGACTGAAAAGTATTCAAGTGCAAGTCCAGATATTATATATTCTCTCTTTGAGAAGATTTAGTGGGAAGTCTGGCTCCTGCGTGATATCATGATGACATCATTCCAACATGATTCTAAATAATTTTGTAATCTTTGTATATAACATATGAGCTTTAGGTTGTGTCTACAGTCTTATAAATAAATACACTACTCTAAATAAATACATGATGTAATTTTCTGACTAGTTTGTTACTTCATTGTGTCACAAATCATATAACATCATATGACAAGGAATAATTTGATGATATAATTATAATAATATAATTATATTTACATAGCACCTTTTGAAAGACAGTTACAATGTGCTTTATAAGCTAAGACTATAAAGATGTTTTACATTCTCTCTCTAGATCTATTATTAAATGTTGTTTTTGGACTATATTTAGTTGACCTTGACCTTTGACTCTTGACCAATGACCTCTGAAAATGTATCCATGTGTTGTTCGTGTCGTTATGTTGCACACACACACACACACACAGACACACACACACACACAGAGACAAAAACAATACCATGCACCCTGTGTGGCTATGCCGGCGAGCGGGGCAATAAATAAAACTGCTCACACATAAATCCAACCTCACAGTGATAAGTGGGTTATGTGAGAAACACAACACGATGCCAGGAGGTAAAGAGCGAGAGAGGAGGAGGAGGAGGGAGTGATGTTGGGAGAACACTAGTTACTGACCTCGCGGGCAGATGCCTTCCTTGCGGGCCAAGGAGGTATAGAATGAGAGGGAGAATAAATGTGAAGCTACAAGCGAAGTCAAGAAAGATTACTAGTGAAGAAGTTTGGGGAAATCAGTGTGAGAAGCTCAGACATGGTGCGATGGGTGAGAGGTTGAAAGGTGCAAGGGTGAGAACCAGGAAGACAAGATGAGGGCAAAGTGGGGATGAGAGTGAGCACATTCCATGTAATGCGTATTTGTGCCATGCAGTTCCTCTCCCTCTCCTGGAAAGCTACAGTCCAACTATACCACAGCCCAAAACAACTTTGTAAAATAAAAGCTCCTGGCATCCGCTCGCTGGAGTTTGTCCCCAGCTATTGGGAATAACGTCTTTGCAGGCGTTAACTTTGACGAAGAAGTGATAGTCTTTAATTATGCATATAATGAGGATATTGGGACAGGTTAGCGTGTGCATTAACGAGGCCCTTGTAATTAGTCCTAAACAAACAAATAATTGTTTCTCTTTGATATTCTCCCTTAATCTCTGCAACAGTGCTGGCTCTCATCGTCTGCAAACACAGGGGGATTTGTGGGCATGCTCAATAGGTCAGGTTTCCAGAAAGTAAATTAAATGGAGAGAGCGTGGCCTTTCTGCATAGTGTGGGTGCCTCAGACGTAAAGGTTAATGCCTTTATGAGATTGCGATGACATATTATTTCAAACACCTCAGAGCAAACGAATGATTTGACTGTATGATTGCAGAATGTAGCTGTTGCAGCCTGTTGTTGATGGAATATTAAAATCCACAGTGTTGGTGTATGTGTACATGTACTGCACATGCTTATGCTTATACAGTATATTCATTTATCAACGTTTGTGTGTGTGTGTGTGTGTGTGTGTGCACATATGGAAGCCTTGACCCCTTACCTTCAATTGCAGGGTGCTCTGTTGTATCGTTTTGGAGCATGTTCTCATTTAAAGAGCTGAGAGTTAGGAGCCTGGGGCGAGTACCTGTAGGGCCCCCGGGGACTCTAGGGCCACATCAAAGGGTCTTGTGACTGGTCACTTACGTGCAGAGCTGTGCTTATCATGCAAAGTGAACAATAATGGTGTTCTGGGGGCGTAAGACCGCACACAAACACAGCAGACGCATTCACCACAGACCAGCAGCCCCCCCTGGGGCTCCACACAGGCAAACTGGACTCTAGCGCAACATACAGCATATCTTTGTGTGTGTGTGTGTGTGTCTGTGTGTGTGTGTGCTTACCTCTACAGGACCTTTTCCAGCACAAGTGCTGACCTTGTCAGGACCAGTGTACCTCATGGGGACCAAAGCCCGGTCATTTCTGAGGTTGTGATTGAGGTTAGAGGTAAGACGTGAATTGTAGTTAGGTTAAAGGACCAGTGTGTAATATCCAGTCCTCCCCTCACCCGTGCCTTTCCCAGTGTGTGGGAGAATATACGGTGGCCTGCAGGTAACATTAAACGTGAGAGGAGCTGTTCGGAACCAGTGTTTGGTTTGTCCCGTTTGGTTTGACAACAGACATGAAGGGCTCATTCTATGGTAACATAGGGAAACCAATTCTTAGCTTTCTGCTGACCTTACATTTGTGAAAACACAATAATGAATTATATTACATAATCGATTTTTGAAAGTAGATCCTCCTAAATTCTACACACTGCACCTTTAAGGTTAGGGTTTGGCATGAATTGGTCATAGTAAAGGTTAAAGGGATAAGGTTGTGGTGAGGCTGTCCATCAATGGAGGTTAATGCAAAGTCCAAATAAGGATAGCTGTGATAGCCTGTTAGTGTGTGTGTGTGTGTGAGAGAGAGAGAGAGAGAGAGAGAGAGAGCGATAAAAAGAGTAGGGAGGGAAATGGGTCATGACATATGTGTTTGCAACTGTGTATCAACGTAATGCATTAGGGACAGACAAGAAGGAGTCATGTGAAACAGGCAGTGATGAGTGAGTGTGTGTGTGTGTGTGTGTGTGTGTGTGGGTTTGTGTGTGTACTTGAATGTAGATGCATATACTGTATCTTGGTCTGGAGGCTCAGGTGGTCCGGGCTCCCTTGTGGGCTATAAACCTCTGATGCTTGGCAAACGTCTATCAAGTGGAGGACATCAACATCACCCCTGAACAAGCACACGCACACACCACCTTGGGCCGATGGGATATCACATGGAATGCACATCCACCACCACACAATTTGTCTTGATAGCTGAGATATCGCAGCCCCACAGCGGCCTCTCTCTCTCTGCCTCGTCTGTGTCCCTCAGCTAGTGTGAGGTGCTCAAAGGTAAAAAGGCAGGAAGTGGCCGACATAATGTTTTGGCTGATATACGACAGCCCGGCTCACCGGCATGAGAGAAGAAGCAGCCTGTGTCTCTGCCTGGGGTTTCTAGTGAGTATAAAACCGGCACATGGATGTTAGGGCAGTAAATCGTCTCCACAATGAGATGAGACCTGGGAGCATCATCTGGACGGGCCAGGGTGGGATGGTGGGGGGGGGGGGGGGGGGGGGGGGGGGGGGGGGGGGTTACTGAATCCTGCTGTGAAGATCACATGTTTTGTGGAGGATCGCCGGCTCTTTGGGACATTCTCCGGAGTTTTTACTTGGGGGCTGGCAGGAGAAAGCGTCGAGCCTCTCACTTGGAAATATGCGCTCTCACGTACAGCCCCTCTGGAGAATATCCGGAGATTACCCGGAGTTCAGTTCATGTCTGAAAGCAGCTTTAAAGTCACAGCAGCAAAGTGGTTTTTGCTTCATGTTTTTTTTTTTTTTTTTAAATCCTGCGAGCTGGGACTTCCTGGCAGGCATCCTCCCCTAGCGTGCAATGCCACAGATAGATGGCTCTGCAGCGGGAGAGTGACTGAGGCAGATGTTTGGCCGTGTTACGACCCGGGTAATAAGACAGACATGTGGCCGTGTGGCAATCGAGAGGGAGCAGGTGCTGCCTCCGCACAGCCATTACCATTAGCATTGATGAGATTGGGGACTCGGCCGTGGTGGATGTGAGATGCTCAGTGTCCCTTAAAGCAAAAACATAAATAAAAGCTGGCCAACACTCCCTAGGAAAGTCAGAAGGCCTATAAAAGTGTAGTGGAGTGTTGCATCCTCAATTCATTGTACGGTGAATCATTCTTATCTTCTGTGACACCACTATGAAATTCTTTTTAAAGCCCCATTTGGCGCTGAGAACAGTGTTGTGATATTTATCCTCTGGTGATTAACATGGTTAGCCTAGCGTGGGGGGGGATTAGAGAAACAGAGAATGACATGCTCGCCATGTCGTGAGGTCAAACCACACGATGGATGAGGAGGTGGAGGGCAGCGGCGAACGGAGGGCTGCTTGGATGAAAAGGTGGCGGCAGAAAGAAGAGATGCAGGATTAGAGGAGGAGGAGGAGGAGGAGGAAAAACACAAGGGGTGGTATCACTTTAACTTCCTGTGACGTCATGCTGATGCAGACGTGGAGGAGAGGGATGCCGAAAAAAAAAACAAAAAAACATGAAAGTCCTGAGCAGTGATTTCTCCACATCCTCCTCCTGCAGGAGAAGATGGAGACCGAGCCTCTGAGGAGACTCACACATGTTCTCGCTGCGGAACGTGACGCTGCGGAGGTGAACGCGTTTCCTCTTTTATTTATTTCTTTTTTTTAAAGAGATATTGAGGTCAGAAGAAAGCGTTGCCAAGGCAACCGGCACTGCGGCGCGCGTCCCCGATGTGTGACGTGCTTGTTGCGGGCGCGTGCAGAGAGAGAGAGGGAGAGAGAGAGAGAGAGAGAGAGCCAAGCGCGGTCACGGTCGCCGACCACAGCAGCGGCAGGCAGCGGCAGCAGAGGCGCAGTCGTCCCGCAAAGACTCCACCGGAGCACCGCGCCGCGTTCGCCCGCCCCCGCACCGAGGCTGGAAGCGCTGCTCGGCCCGGAGCTTCCCCTTCATCCGCAGGGATTTAACGAGGATTTATCGAGCACGAGAAAAAACACCGAATAATTATCCGACTGCAGCTGCGAGCCCTGGCCCAACACAGGTGCCACGAGCCGGGTGATTTCGTGGATAGAAAGAGCAGACTGTCATCCTGCAGAACCGAGCTATCGGTCCCGTTTCACCGTGTTTCACCGCCTGCTTCCCTCGGATGGGGGATCTCTCCGTGTCCTGCTGTGTGTGATGCAGCAGAGCAGCTTTGTTTTTAGAGAGTCTGCCTCCACCGGCTGCATGGACTGAACCAGCTGCAGCTGCAAGCGGTGGCATTTTTTGGTCACTGTTATTATTTTTCTTATTTTTTTTAATTTTGTGCTTGATTTTCGTCTTATTTTTGGTGAATATACGTGTTGGCACAGTTTTTGCTCACTTGACATTTACTGGACTGCCCTGAGGAAGGTTTAGTGAAGAGGAGGAGGAGGAGGAATTGTCAAAAAGGAAAGGAAAGGGGAAAAAAAATCCAGGAGGCATCAGTGGGAATCTGGCATCCATCCACCATCCAGTGGATCAGGAACAGGTAGGCTGAGCTTTAAACATGGTTCTTATTGGAAAATCCAAGTTGCAAAATAAAACAGTGTTTCTGCATTAGATTGCATTTTGAACAGGATTAAGACATGCAAATGTTTTTTTACACACCTTCACTGTTTTTGATTTATTTCCCTACACTGTTTTCTATGTTTTGGGGAAATTAATGGACACATATATTGCCTGCAGTAGCACCTTAAAAGAAAATGCATTTTCAGTTGCCCCGAACATGCCATTATTTCCCATTAGTTTCCTACATTTTCATTCTAAAGTAGATTTTTTGGGGGGAATGCAGCAGCAGCCTAAAAGTTAAAGCATTATCAGTTGCAACATTTTTATTTGTTTCCGTTTTAATCCTAACTTAGACTATATTTGTTCGGAAAATAATGGAGGTAAATGTCGCAGCTGTAGCACCCTAAAAGAAAATGCATTTTCAGTGGCCTGTTATTATTTTGTATCTGTGTCCCTACATTGTATATACTTCACACTTTGTCAGGAGCAACACTAAAACAAAATGCATATTCAGAAGCTCCAAAACCCCTGTAGGCTACAGTAGACTAAATAAATGGAGATACATGTTGTCAGCAGCAGCAGCACCTTTAAAGAAGATGCATTTTCAGTTGCCCCAAACACAGTTTGTTGTTCTCTGACAGGTTTTCTTTTTGCACCATGTGTTTGTGTGTGTGACTTTGCTGAGTGGCGATGTTAGAGCTGCTGTGAATGAGTCGTGCTTCATGCAGGCAAGCCTCCATCCTGTCTATGAGAGAAGATGCGCCCTCCCTCCCTTGTACCGCTAATGAGGACCCTGGACTCGGAGCTCCTCTGGTGAAATGAGACAAACAGAGGCTGCTATTCAGTCAGGCCCAGGCTCATTTCTCCGCGCTCCTAACAGGCAGACTTTGTAACCCATCAATCAAAGGCCCTTCGCTGAGATTGCATTGATGCTCGGATCACTAGCTGGTGATCATTTCTGTCATTGTGTGCATTTGCCTGGAGTGAGAGTGGAATGGACAAGAGTGAAAGGGAGATTTTGCAAGCAAACCCGCCTGTGTTGCAGACAGATGTTGGGAGTGATGCACAAAAGTCCCCCTTCAATGGTTCAACCATCCCTCAACTTAATAGGAGCATCTTTCATGGGGTCGTTATACTCAAAAGACCCCAGGAAACGCCATGGCCATGAGAACATATTCCCCTAAAAGCAACCCTACACACACACACACACACACACACACACACACACACACACACACACACACACAGAGCAGGAAGAATGGGCCGCATTTATATGCTGTGGCTGGTGTTGTGGGGCATTCGGATCGGCAGGCCCTGCTAGATGATAGAATTCAGCAGGGACAAGAGGACCTCTGTTCTTATCTGCAGCGACGAGAAAGGGAGGACAGCTTTACTCAGCTCAGCTCAGCTCAGCTCAGCTCACCTTCTCTCCTCGGTTTAGGCAGTGAGCCTGTCCTGTAAAGCAGATAGGGACATCTCCTCTGTGGGGAGGAAGCAATTTAATGGAGAAAAATGTGCGGCTGTCCTCGTGCTAAATAGATGTTGTCACAGAGGAGCTGTTATTTATCTTGATGGCGGCAGGCTGGAAACTTTGAGGACGCGTGGAGATGTTTAAGGGGGATGAAGATGGCACGCTCATGCATTCGTGTCTGAAAGACAGAGGGGATAAAAGATGGAAGAGGAGGGGGGACATTGTAGAGTAAAGAATTTCTGCAATAATAAAATATGCCATGTTTGGTTAATATATTTGAGGTCAGTGGCTGATCTGCTTTAAGATTACAAAAACTCAAAGAACGGTTAGCCTCGGTGAGGAGGCCTGAAAACACCATTCGATGTGTGTGCTTGTGTGTGTGTGGGTATGCTGCATGCAAACATTTGGTCATTTTCTCTGTCTCTGTGTGTCCAAACGAAAATGCACCCATGGCCCCTGAAACCAGTGCAGAGTGCCATCCATCCTGGGCAAGGTGCAGCAAAGCTGGAGGCAGATGGGGCCGAGGCGTTCAGAGCGTGTCGTTGGGTAGATTGATGGCTCCCAGCACGGGTCACTAAGCAGTCAACAGATGCAGGACGGTGTTGTGACAGGATGGGATCTAAATGGTCATCACAATCCCACACATTCACACTTCCACAGTCGTCAGCAGCCCGACTTTACTGCTGCTAATTTTGTCCCTCGCGATTTATTTTTATCGCAGGTAAATCAGCGACAGCAGGTTCCCGAGTTGGTCAGGATGTTCTCTGACTGTGGAGCTAATTTTAGGCGAGAAATGTCAACCGGTGTAAAAAAGATAAAAAATCCTCAGGATAATGGCAGCTGACTTGTTGACTGGAGACTCATGTGATAAATGCTGGTGAAATTAAATGTTTGTTCAGCAAAGTCAAAATGAATCAGTAAAGCCAAGGCTGGCTGAACATACAAGTCCTCAGGGAGGCGCTGTTGATCACATCTTCCCTGTGTGACACAAATCTGTTTGAAGGTGCAGAAATGTATTTCCAGAGCTGGCAGGAGAATTGTATTTTTTATTTCCCCCACCTGCGTGCATTAGTCTTCTACTTTTCAGCCGAACTTGAAGGATCCAGTGTGACAAACTGCACAGTTAGCAGTTGTATAATTGGCAGAATATTGAGTATTTGTGGGAACCAGAATTGAGGGATCTGTTTAGGAGAGGTGACTGGGAGCAGTGTGTTAGACAGACACACACTTAATGAACACACAACATTGGGAGAAAAACTTTTCAGTGAGACTAATTTGGCTGTGAGTGGATGTTTAATGTTTTGGCAGAATCTATGACATTTGCTTGTTGCTGTGAAAACATTTTAATTTTTTCTGCTTCACAAGTAGAAAATAAAGCAAATTAAATCTTAAATATATGAGATTTTACACAATAATATGGCACTAAACAGCTATTTTGCATGTGTGCATGTTAGCACATGTGAGTCCCTCCCTGTGAGTCCAGTGTGAAGTTTCCTCCACTATTGTAATTCCTGATTTGAATGAATTGCCAAAATTCAATTGTTGCCTGCAGTGTTGTGGAGCAGAGCATGGCAATGCTAGCATCGGCTAATGGCTGTGGCTTATTTTTTTGGCTCTCGTTCTACTTGATTCAGTCATGCACAAAGAAAGCGGGGAGCTGTGGCCTTAGAGAGGCATTTGTTTTGGTCCAAGACGCTGTAGTGAGACATCTAGTGGCAGTGAATATCAGGTGTATGACCTTTAAAGATATTATACTTAACAGTTCCTTATTACGACTAGACCTCGGTTACATACTTTTTTGACTCTGGGAACTTTTATTCAAGGTAATGGGTTTCATCCGTCACTCGTAATGGTGCACGATTATTCATCGCTGTCTGCCGCACAGCATGAATAAAACTTTAACACTCAGGCGTCAGGTAGATTTTCACCCATGCTGCTTCACCACATCGTCAATATGAGTCTTCTGTTATTGTTTTGACTGAGAAACCCTTAGTGGCTGAAGTTATACTTGTACTTTAATGGAATAACTCCATAATAGATGCTCCTTTTTATATCGTACAGCTCAGGTAATTGACAACAAGCTGTTCTTCTTCCTTTTGGCCCAGTGTCCCCATGTAACCATGTAATTGCCCAGTCTTTTACATGTGTTTGTTGTAATGTGCAAGAACCAATCTCCCCCATTAAGTTTAATCGACTTTTGGACGACTTCCCTCCACCGCGAAAAAAAAGTGTACATGCTTGTTACACCATATACTCTGCACGACTCCTTTATTGCCTTTATTCCTCACTCGTGTATTCATTTGTCTCTCTTCACTATCCATTTGTGGCCGACTCATTTATTTGGTTCAAAGGAAGCCTGGCAGCTTTTTTTTATTGCCAGGAGTGTGTGTTGTTGCTATGGCAGCATCTTTTTGGACGGATAAGCCCTGCAAAGATGCTAAACCTCAGGCTCGTGTTTTGTTTTTATTGGTTTGTGCGTGTGCTCCAGCATGTTTCCTTTTATATTAAAGCTGCAGAATTAATCAAAATACAACTGACATCACCATATCGACTGCTGCAATGTCCAAATTGCTGGAGGATGCATTTTTTCCCTTCATGATAAAGCCCAGTAAACAATGTTCTCTGGTGCTGTGCAGAATCCTGACGTGAAATCGTTATCATCAAATATTTTATTACTGTCACAATCTGCAGACCTAAGCATTTAACATGTCTTATTTACTTTTTCTGCAGTGAGGAAAAAAAAGCATTGGGAAATACTATGTATTCTTTGCGTATATTGCATTGAATGCTATTGATTTGCTTTTAGAGTTATTGAAAGACGGAAGCCAAAAGATTGTATTATATTGTTGAGGATTGTTGTCTGAGACAAGTACCTCCATCTTCCCTGCTCAGTCTGTCAGTGTATCTGTTTTGTTGAGATTCTCTTAGTGTGCTGGTCTCCCACAGTCCCTCCACAGTGGCCCATCTCTCCTCTTTTTCTGTGCCTATTGAATGAGATCTTTGCTCTCTGGGGCGCAAGATGGAGACGAGGGGTTAGAGCCATTACTTGTTTCGGCTCCCTCCTTCCTCCCTCTTTCTGTCTGCCTCAGTCTTCCTCTATTCTGTGCATTGTGGTAGTTTCTCTGCTTGTCGCTCCCAGTTTTTCTTAGACACTCTCTCCAAGCATTTCTGCAACCGTCTTCTTTTGTCTTCAAACTCCCTTAGCGTCCCACAACCAGAGGTGAACAGTGCTGTAGTGTCCCCCGGGGGCTCATTAAGGTTACATCAAGGTCGAACGCTTTCTGACACGTTTTGATTAAAAGGAAATAAAAAGAAACACCCCCGATGTTTGCTTCCAGGCTCTCCAACCAACTGCAGCAGCAACCTTCACATCACCACCCCTCCCACCCTCTGCTAGAACCAGGCTGACCACCAGCTAAGATCAATGAACATTTACTCTTTTCTTCAAAGCGATAAAACTAAAGGAAGACACAGAGACGGTGAGAAGACGAAACCACCCAGAACATCCA